CCATAACTAAAATCAAAATTCACAAGGAAAGAAAAACAAAAAAACAAAAACGAAGTCATGTTTATATGTAAGTATTTCATAAATATTTCTCATCCAAGTAGTAACTCTAAAGTCATCTAAATAAATTTGAGATTATTTAAAAAAATAATATAAAATACCTACAAAGAGGGGTAGAAGAACTGTGAAGAAAAAAAAAACCCAACAACCAACCAGGACAATATCGTTGCAAGGAAACACGACTCGAGAAGTAACAATCGTTTAAAAAAGAATTGTTAGAAATGCAAGAAATGCTACAACACAACATATGTTAAGATTTTTATATTATATTTATTGTTTGAGATTTATATGTTGTATCTATTGTTTGTGACTTCTTATACTTTGAACGAGGACTTCTTTAAGATTTATACGTTGTATATTCATTTTAAAGTTGTGCGTGCTTTGGAGTGTCTTTGAGTTTTCCCTTTAGTTAGTGCTCTTGATTCAACCATTTGTTCAGTCTATTGAGAAGGAACATGATCTTGGTTATATCCATGTTATTTAGTGATAAATTCATGTTTAGACGGTGACTCAGTCATTTGGATGATGCAAATTACGAGTGTCATCTTTTATTTTGTTTTTTATTTTTATTGTCTTGTTTGATTTTCGAGCAAGGATTTATAGTTCATTATCTAAGCATGATACTGTTGACTGTCCACATTGATTTCTCCTATAGGTTTCAAGGTAACATAGAAGAACTGTTAAAATAGGTGACTTAGCCTAGTCGACTCTACGGACCAAATAAAAAATTTGATGACCCAACCTTATTTATATTTTAAAATGAACCAAAAATTTTAGTCTAACCTAGTCCTATGTTAAGCCAATGGACTAACAGAACAATTTTGACTTGGTTGAATTAAAAAAATATTGACATATATATACAAAATTAATTAATTAAAAATATTAAAATAAAAATATTTTTTGAAAATTTAAATTTTATTAATAAAATTATTTTTTGTTTAATATATAATGATTTAACATATAACTTATAAAAAAATACATCCATTCAATCTCAAAATAAGAATTAAAAACTTACTCTTTATTTTTATTAATTATTTTTTTAATTTATTAATTTAAAATAGTAATTAATCTTAATCATTATGGAATAAATGATTATTAGAGATTTATTATGATATTTACTCTTAAATTAAATAAATTTCTGTCAAATTAATTTATAACACATATATATATATATATATATATATATATATATTATTTTATTAATATTTAAAAATTAATTATTATTCTATAAAATAGAGCTGACTCATAAGTCTACATGATAGTTTGACTTAAACCCATATAAGCAATGATCTAAATAAGTCAAGCTAAATTAGTTTTTATTCAATTTAGGTCACAAATTATTTTATTTTATTTATTAATTTAAAATAATAATTAATCTTAATCATTATGAAATAAATGATTATTAGAGATTTATTCTAATATTTACTCTTAAATTAAGTGAATTTTTTTCAAATTAATTTATAACACACACATATATATTTATATATACATGTATATATATATATATTAATAAAATAATATTATTTTACTTTTATTTAAAAAATAATAATTATTCTATAAAATAGGTTGATTTATAAACCTAGGAAATAACCTGACCTAAACCCATATAAACAATGATCTAAATAGGTCAAATTAAAATAGTTTTTATTCAATTTAGGTCACAAATTGTTTTACTTAGTTTGACCTATTTCTCAGACCTTTCAAATTAATCTATCATACTAAACCTATTTTAACATCCTATCTAGAAGTGATTATTCTTGTATAGAGTCATTAAATTAGCTTATAGTTGGACATTAATATGTTATTTGTCCTCCTTAATGTATGATTTAAGGATGAATATTATAGGGAATATTGAGTTTAAATGATGCCTTGTCTAAACCATAGGGTATTTATGGTCTACCCAGTTTTTTTCCTAACTTTATTATCGATGTCAAATGTTTTCGCAGATGAGACTCTTCAAAGTAAAAATAATATATGTGTTGAGCATAATCGAGACGAGGAGGAGTTTATTATAAAAATTCTTTAATATTTAAATCAATAAATATTAGAAATGGAAAATTAATAAATGAAATAATTTTATAAATAAATATTAAAATAAGATTTTTGAAATAATAACCCAAATATATTTTAAAAGCATACCGTATACCATGAGAATTCATTTGGTTTTATCACTTATATCTCAAAATAATAAACAAATTTGGTATAATTTTGTTGAGTTGTTATATTTCAATAGAAAAGATAAAATCAATATTCTTTTGCTAATCAAACAAAAATAACCTTAAATCACGAAATTAATCAAAGCAAAACTCTTTTAAAAAAATTTAGTTTAAAATTATTATTGGTTTAAAAATTTATCTTTAGAAACAAGTGAAAGCCTTAAGCACCTATCATTTAAGGGTATACGCAATAACATGGGAACTGAATATAATAAATATGAATTACATTACTCAGATGTATCGTAATATATTTAAGAGTGTGTTTGTTATGCGATGCGAATATATAATGTTATATTTTTTTTCTTATACATTTTCAAAATTTATCTCTTGTGTATAATTGATTCTCGAAAATGTTATTATATATTTTTTTATCCTACTCTTATTTAATTTTCTAATTCAAAAATAAAAAAGAAAAAAAATACATATTCTTACCGTAATAAGAAAAATTAGAACTTGTTTATTTTAATTTATTTTTTTAGTTAAAAAAAATATAAAATTGTTTTTGAAAATAAGTTGAAAAAGAACCTTATTTAATAACTATAGTTTTAAAAACTATTTTAGGAATGAAAAAAATTAAAAAACTTATTTATTTGATAAAATTGTTTTCAAAAACATTTAACAAATATATAAGTTTAGTCTTATTATGAATATGATATATATTTTTTTCTTTATAAAGGGCTAAAAATAAAATAAAAACAATTCAAAGATATTATAAATTATAAATATGCTCAGAAACTTATTCTAAATTTAAATATTATTTTCCAATAAAATAGTTTATAAAAAAATTAGCCACACCAAAAATGTGATGGGTCCTTTGAGACTTTCTAAATGCTATTATTAAAATGATAATATTGTAAAATATTTTAATTTAAATATGAAGAATTTCAATTTTAAAAGATTTACATCTTTATCATTGATGAAACTAAAAATCACTTTATTTTCCATAGGAGAAAGAACAAACCCGAAGCAAATTCTAGTTTTTAAAAACTAAAAACCTTTCAAAAATTATTTTTATAAAACAATTACCAAATAGGATTTTCAATTTTTAAAAACTAAAATACTAAAAAATATTTTTAAAAACATTAAACGAACAAGTCCTTATTATCTAATACACATGTAACTTCCCTTTTTTTATTTTTAAAATATTCTTATTAGACGAATGTTAGCAAATGTTTTTTAATACAGATATAGACAGAAATAAAAATATTATTAATAATATGTAATATGATTTCATTAAACAAATACTCCCTAAATTACATAGTGTAAAGAAAGCTACTTAAAATGTTATTTTTAAAGCTTGAACCTTCAAATTTACCAAACTGACCTCGCTGACAACCTGATAAATCATTCATTATATTCAAGACTTGGCTTTGAGCTTCAGCTTGCAGAAATTTTCCAGCACATTATTCTGTTGTGGCTGCTTTGAGTGATTTTAAATTCAAGAATTGAACCCATTGCAAAATTATCTCTAGATAAAGAAAAATTCAAGTACTTTTAGTTGCATTTTTAGCTACCACTGGAAGCAATTATGAAAAAAACTAGTATTTCTTAGGATGATCTATATGGATATGTAAACTAAATTTCTTTAATATCTATCAATATACAATCACATGCCCTTTAAATCAGCCAAGCAAATTAAATAAACCAGATGTCCAGAAAGTAACAGGACCCAAGTTTCTTTAAGTAGATTCACATCAATTGAAACTTAAAGTATATGAATTATAAACCTGAACCAAAGCTTTGATCGCACGCACAAGTACTATTCAGAATTGTAGATTGAATAACATAAGTCCACAATTCAGTCAAAGTTCCATCTCGTGGCTTCCTCAAGAAGACCATTTCACGAACTGCGGTACGAAATCTAAATTTATCATGTATCCTTAACTAACACAACATAATCTTCAATTGTCCAAACCCTATGACAATAGACTAGGTTTGACCAATAAAAAGAAGGTCATCACCTAAGTGTTTGAGTATTAATCCAATCCATTTCAATCATATTACAACCAAGCACCGAAGGAAAAAAAATGTTCATGAGATAAAATTAATCCACACCCACTGAACTTAAAATCCTCTGCCATTAAGCCATTTATCACACTAATTAACAGAAAACCAGAACCAGATCTCTATTCACACAAAGAACCATCTGTCAATTGCTGACTTAACCTACAAAAGCAATCTTCTAGTCAGTGCAAAACTTTGACAAAATCCTGCAACCGCAGATTACACCACAAGCTCCATTCAATCAAAAAATGTTCCATCCGCAAGCATCACATTCAAATTTTCCTATTGGATCTTCCACAAGAAAACCATACCCCACCAATCACACCACTGACTCAAAAATCTTCTCATGCCACCTTAACTAGTATTAACAAATTAAATAAACCCATGATCTAAACCACACCACATTAGAACCCAATCAAATGGTATATTATCCAAGCAAACTATAACCCAAACACTTCTAATTTGAGTCCCATTGAAGTAAATCCCTAACAACATCGATAACTAAACACAAAGGCAAACAAAATATATTGTCAGAAAATATTTCTTTCTTTCTTCCTTCCTTCCTTTCTTGTTTTAGTTTTTAAAATAAGAAACGAGAGAAAATACACTAAATTATTTCTCTCCAGTCCCTACTTGCTCACCCCATCACCGATTCGAGTAACCATAAAAGAAAGGAACCATTTCATATAAAACACAAATGAGAAATTTATCCTTTTTATGATTTTAATGGGTGAAGGCATAGATAGCAGTGGAGATATAAAGCACTAGAGCGGAAGAGACCAAGACGACCATGGCGGTGACGGCGTGCACAGCGGCCTTGCTCCCGCAGGAGAGCATCCCGAGGCGGATCTGGATGACATTGATCATGGACAACACCAGGAAGAGGCAACCCATGACGGACCCAATGGCGGAGCCCAGCATGCCCAGCCTCAGGGCCTTCAGGTTGATGTGGGCCCGGAAGGCGTCGTCTGCGTCCTTGCTGTTGAGCAAGTTGAGCGCCAGTTTGAGCCCCTGCGCCACCAGAGAGGAGCAAAGGAAGAAACTAAACGACACTACTTCAAAGACGAGGAGCTTCTTGGCCACGTCGGTGCCGGCGTCGCACGCCGAACGGCTCTCGAGGCTGCGCTGCCCCGGCGTCGTGAGGGAGAGTCCCACGAACACGGCGATCGTGAAGAGGGAGTTCACGTTGACCAAGCCGTCCAAGGCCGTGACGTGGACGCTGGTCGTGGAGGAGGAGGAAGAGGAAGACATCCTTCTGGTCATTCCATCGTTCGGGTAAAACTCCTTTGGGTATTGCTCTGATCTGCGTCAATCATATCCAAGGAAAAAAAAAGAAAGAGATTATATTTCTGAATTAGAAATGGAAGTAATTTAGAAGACAATTCTCTGGTGCGTAAAATGCGTGTGGAGAGAGAGAGAGAGAGAGGAGAGAGATACTCATCCATGGGGAATCAATGCCGGTGGAGGTAGGGAGAGGGAGATTGGGGTGGCTTGCTCTTTTAGGGTTTACGGGTAATTGTTTGCTTAGGGGAGAGGGCGATGCTTTCGTTTTCTGCTTGGTTGGTAACTTGGTTTCCTTCCTTTGCTTTGCTTTGCTTTGCTTTTGGGGTGCTTTGAAAAGCAAAAGAATATGCAAGCAAAGTCACGTGCCCCAGGCATTTAAGAGAAACCGATAACAATAACGTGTCTTCATCCTCCTAATAACTATTATTTTAAACAATAAATAAACCATCCTTTTAGTCATCAACTATCACTCCCTTTTCTTTTCATTTGTCAAATATATATAATTTAATATTCGTATATGTAATGTGATTTTTTGTTTTAGTATAATGAAAAAAATTAATCCATTTTAACACATCAACTATAATTTTATTTGAGTTTTAATACATTCGCTAACGTACAACTTGCTGGTCAAAAATTACAATGTATTAATTTATTATATTTTTTTCTGTGTAATAACTATTATAGACTTTTATTTTTAGTAAAATTGAAAAAAAATAACTAATCTTAATATAATGGGAAAAATAATTGTAAAATCAGATCACATTTTGTAAGATCATCTGTCATATCTTTTCTAGAAATAATATGGTATAAAATTATATCTTATTCTAGTATAAAGTAATATTTCTTAAAATTAAGAATACGATTAATTTCTTTATATTTTTGTAGGATTTTAGAAAGATTATAAGAAAAATCATTGATACTAAAATCATCCATAAATACTTTTATGTGATACTCTAGCAAGTAAGTGAAAATACTTAACATGTATCGTTAAAATGTTTCAAGAATATTGCAAAGATCAAGTGACATTTTTCTATAAGCATAAGTACCATAATGATAGGTAAAAATCATCTTATGTTAATCTTCTGGTGTTATATAAATTTGAAAATAACCATAAAATCCATCAAGAAAATAATAGTGTGACTTACTTGCTAGACATGTCATTAATTATGTAAGACAAGTTATAAATGACAAACAAAATATGCTATCAACTATGTTTGTTACTAAAGTTATTGTAAGGATTTATTTCATTTATTGCAAGACAAAGTCTAAGATTTAATGGGTCATTTTCAAATTTTAGAAATAAAGAGTCATTTTTCTTTCATTATGGTGAATTAGAAACATGGTGAAACATTTTTATGAATCATTAACATTAACAAACAAACACTTAAATCTTGGAATAATTGGAAGATATTATAATACTTTGCATGAGGACCCATTTTTGTGTTAGGCATTATCATTTCACTTTGTAGTGTGAAACTCCACACCTTAGACAATTATGTAATGTTTCAAACTTTTTTTTGTATATTATGCAATTATTAGGACAAACATGTGTTTTTTTTATACTTTAGACCCATTAGCAACAAGATTTTACTCGCTTCATAGTGAGGATGGGTAGTGTATTACCTTTTGGTAATATTTCATTCAACAATTCAAGTAATTCGGTAAAACTTTTATTAGTCCACTCATTTCTTGTCTTAATATTTATCAATCATAATATTATTGATAAACATGTGAAATGTGTACAACCAAGATACAAATGCATCTTTGAATCAGTTTTAAAGGTTGCATACATTTGGGCTTGTTGAAAAAATTCCTCTTCAACCTCATGAATCATATCCTCTAGTTGATAATCGACATTCACATCAAAATATTGATATTTAGACATGCAAAAATATTTAGTAATTCACCAATGTCAAGTCGAAGTTATATAACTTTGTAAGAAACCTTAACAGAGAAGATGCCCTCGTATCAATTCAACTTGTAGTTGTCTCTCATTTAAACAATTAACACATTGATTAAAACTTCTTCCATTATTATTTACAAATTGTGACTGTTCAACAAATTTTATAGATTCGTCATCGTCATTCTCATATTTCTTACTTATAGATTAAAATTTATCCATCTTTGATCTATAACTACATAATGACATTCATAATAACTTATTTTATCCTGACATTCATAATAATTGTAAATTAAATCCCTAATCCCATATTAAATTCTTAATTCTAAAATTAAATCATAAATCCCTAATTGTATTAAATTCCTAATTCTAAATTAAATTCATAATCCATAATTTTAAATCAAATCCCTATTTCTAAATTGAATCATTAATCCCTAATTCTATTCTAAACTTTTAATTATAAACTAAATCTCTAATCTTCAATTTTACTCAATCTAAAGTTGCAACTTAAAAACAATTAACACTTTATCGAAAGTCACAACTTAAATAGAGATGCAAACATGATGTGCACAATACCTCATATAGCAATGAGTAGAATGTGATTGGTGGGAAATGTGGTGGGTGACATGGTGATGGGTGGCGTAGTGATGACAAAACAAACATGGTACGATGGTGGTGTAACGAACGTAAAATATTGGTGGGTGATACAATGTAGTAAAGATAATAACAAAGAATGACACAACGCGTTGAAAATTAGTTTGCAGGTTTCACGTGGAATGATGGTGGCACAATGAAGTAAAGACAACAACAAATGGTGACATAATCTAGTGGAGACTGGTTCGTAAGAGAATGAATTGAGTGGGAAAGAAGGTAAAATTTTTTAAGAAAGGAAACTATATAAGCTAATAAAAGAACCGATGTAGTATGTCATATACTACATCGGTTCTATCACAAATCAATGTAATATCATCTCTTAAATTTTCAAAAATATCATCCTATCATTTTGACACAAGTATTGTCATGTCTTGTTGTAAAATGCACTTTCTTCACTAATAAACATAATTATTGTGCCTAATTATTTTTTTTCTCATTATTTTGATTTGTTTCTTGGTTTTTAAAATATGTTTGTTGAAAATCTATTTGAGAAAATCTATATTGATTTGTAATTAACCCTAATTTCAAGAAAAAAATCTCTACTTTAAAAAAAAAAGTTAGTCAAGTTCAATATTTTTTTTAACTTATGCAACAATGTTAACAAAAGTTATTTACATAATTTATCTGCTTAGATGAAAAAATTAAATTAAATCAAATTTAAAAGATAAAAAAATCTAAATTAATCGCTTTAAAATTAAAAATTAAATTAATTTTATCAAATTTTTAATATGTTCAAATATCATCATTTTTATTTAAATCTAAATATGAAAACCAAAATTGGGAGGAGATGTGGTCCGTAAGTCAATGGACCACGTATCATCACCCGTCACGAGGAGGGTTAGTCGAGAAAACAGTAAAAGACAGCACCCAAAACCTTGTTTCATTCTTCCACGGTACACATACAATACAACACAGAAGATCCTTCGTATTACTCCGGTTTCTTCAATTTCGTACTTAACTCCACACAATCGACAAAACTTGACACGGTGGAAAGATCTTAGTTTTGCACCCTCTGCTGTTTCACAGTAAGTTACGCCATTCTTGTTTTTTTGTTTTTGTTTTTTTTTTTTCCAGCAAAGATTTTCTCTTTGGAGAACGCAACAAGTACTTGCTCAGATCTTTGTCATGGACCTTGTACAATTTACCAACTACGTTCTCTCTCTGCGGAAACCTTTATATATATTCGTGTGTCTATGTGTGTGTGAGAGAGTTTTATGTAAGTTTTCTTAGTCAAAGTGATTTTTCTCACTGTCCCTTGAGATTTTAAAATTAGGTTTTGAAAAGAAATTGTCTTTTCTCTCTAATTATGTGATTTTATAGAAAATGAGATTGGGGTCTGTCTGCTAATGGAGGTAGAGTGTGTGTACCTTGGAAGATGATGGGGAATGAGTGTGGCGGGCTTTAGATGCGAAGGTCCATACATGAACATAATGACTATGGGGTTTGTGGATTTGGTAATTGGTGGCAATACAAGTGTAGAAGGTGAAATATGGCATATTTTGAAAAAAAAGTGTTGTTGAATACTTTAGTTTCTAGCAGAACTGAGAGATTTAATGTTTATTGTATGAAGTTGGTGTTTAGGGTTTTGGTAATTTCCATTCCTTGTGGAATTTTACAATAGATATCCAGAGGGATTGGAATATTTCTTATCCTTCCATTTCCCAGTATGTTATCTTTTCTTTAATGAAATCATTCTTCTCTAAAAATTATAAAATAAAATCTCTTCTCAACGTCAATTTTTATTGTTACATTGCTATTCTTTTGGGGCTTATCACAAAGTACAGGACTGCAACAATGAACTTTCCTTTTGTTACAATCCAGTATAGTTTAAATACATAAATGCCTAACAAATTCGGGTCATCAGGTCAAGCTTTCAGCCTTGACCTGCACAAATGCAGTTTGAACACTATTTTTCTCAACTTTCTTCAATTGAGTGATGATTTACAAATGATGTTTCCCAGGATAACTGTCATATGTTTTTCCAAAGGAAAGGCTGTGGACATTATCAACTTGGCACAAATATACTCTGAACATTTCTAAGTACATCCACCTTACCTCTCCCCGCATCATTTCAATGTCAACTCCATGAAGGTGCAAAAATAGAGTGTGATGTCCTCCCTTTTTATTTACTCACTTTTAAGAAAGAGTAAGATACTGAATCAAGCATTTTGAATTGGATAATCCACATGCATGGAAAGTATTGAAACTATGATACAATAGTTTAACATTTAATCTTGCTGTGACAATTGTTTATCTAGTGCTTGTTGGTTGTACATATTTTATAGAAATAATCATTTTTATTTTTTATCTTTTCCGTCTTCTTGAAAGAGTTTTAAAAAAATAAAGTGATTGTTTTCCCAAAATATTCCCAATAGCCAGCCAAACACTTGTCTGCACAATATAAGTTCATTGGAGACTAGTCATTTTATTTGAAATTGATTCAATTTCCTTAAACTGCAATTCATTTTACTATTCCTCACTCCCTTTCTCATTTGCTTTGGCCCTCCAAAGCAAGATGTCAATCTGGTCCAGCCTAAAGTTGTTTTCTCAAAAGCCTGTAGATACTTTAGTTATATCTTTTCTCTGAACTCATAAACATGAAATATTTCCTTGCTGAGGCTAATTCTCTATTTTTTCTCTGAACTTGTCGGACACACACTATAGGGTAGTTGATAATGCATCTGCTAATTAAAAGTACTAAATTTTATATATTTTTGTACCATGAATATTTGAAATTGTTATCTTAATGACATGGTGGGCAGACTTTTATGGATTTTGTGGTGGTGGATTCGGACAAGGGAAATGAAGCGGAACATAGTTGTCTAGAAGAGAGTACAAGTATTGAAGGAGTTGAAGTTCAAGAGCCATATGTGGGCATGGAATTTGATTCTGAAGTAGCTGCTAGGAAATTTTATGTTGACTATGCAAGAAGGTTAGGATTTGTAGTACGCATAATGCAAAGGCGACGATCTGGAATTGATGGGAGGACTCTTGCTCGCCGGCTTGGATGTAACAAACAAGGATTCTCACCAAATAGCAAGGGAGCATTGGGACCAGAGAAAAAGCCAAGACCTAGTGCCCGAGAAGGTTGCAAGGCAACTATTTTGGTTAAGTTAGAAAAATCTGGAAAATGGGTTGTCACAAGATTTGTAAAGGATCACAACCATCCTCTAATTGCTACAGCTAATGGGTTCAGCACAGCGGTGAGCTTTCTGCTTGTTTAAATTATTCTGTGTCATTCAATGTGCATTAGGTATGACTTATTTCATACCATTTTTAAGTAATAAATAATAATAGCCGTCTTCTTTCTTTTACCTTTTGGGATATGCTTTGCTGGTGAGTCTGTGAATTGTGCTTTTAAGACCTGTGGTAACATTTTTTTAATAATTATTAGGAGTACTTTTTCCTGATGTCTTTCATTCATAACTACCAGTGATTTTACAGTACATAGGTGTGAAATATGTGTGAAATTTTATTAATAGTCAGATATGGGGAACATTTAGTTAATTTTTTCTTTCTAATTTTTTTTATTCCAAATCCTAGACCTGATAGGATTAGGAATGAATGCATTAGAAGAAGTATCATCTATTGAAGAAAAAATGTTAGAATATTGCCTTAAATGGTTTGGGCATGTGTGAAGAAGAGTTGTAGAAGCACTGAAAAGGAGAGTAGAGCAGATGCTAGATAGAGAGGGTAGTCTTATCACGTAGAGGGAGACAATAAAAAACTATGGGTGAAACCGTGAAGGATTTAGAGGTTAGTGATTCATCTACTAACATGATTTACTAAAGAATATTATGCATTATTTAATTCAATAATCATATGGCTGACCCACCTAATTGAAAAGGTTTGGTGGTTGTAATCAAATATAGAGAATTGTATCATGGTAGTAGCCTTTCTTCCAAAATGTAGCATAGTTTATGCTCTTGAAAAGGAGGTTATGTTTCAATAGCACTTGTTGTTTGATACCAAATTTTTAATTAATTAAGATGTCATGTTCAGTTCCTAGGCTTCCTATTGAAATCAAGCTTGAGATGACAGTGAAAGAATTGCAGATTAAATCAAGCTTGAATTTCTCATTTCAACGGTTATAGAAATTTATAAGAAAAGGTAAAGTCCCCTAACTGAAGCCCTGAGGTGTGACCCACTAGGATTTTTCACGAAGATTGGTGCTGAAAATCTTACCAATGATGTGCTTCCACCAACAATTTAAGATTTAAAGTTGGAATGGTTCTTGATATGGCCAGAGCCTCCTTGAGAGTTATTGGACGTTTAATTTTGTCTGCATTGGTTTTTTATTTTTGCCAATTTATTCCTTGGACATCCACATGAGCAATGAGGTTTTTGTTTTTGAACTACAGTGCTATCTTACCTCTCCACTCTTCTGTTGTATTTTTCTTTTTTAGTTCTCCATATCATACTTTCGAGATTGTTTCCCCTCCTCTCTAAAATTTAGTTTGCTGAGTGTAACTTAATTCACCATGAAGTTTTCCATCACTGGAATACTTGGTGATGAGTAAATTATTGAGTTGAAAGATCGTGTTTTGTATGTGTAGTTAATGTTCATTTTTGTTCTTGAAGTTCGCATGTACAAGGAGGCAGAGCTTGCTCGTCTTTCTAGTGAACTGAAAATAGTAATGGAAGGTAAAATGGTCAAATAAGAAAGTTCACAAAGCCAAACTGTAGCTATCTCCAACCCGAGGATTGAATAATTATATTGGGAATTAATGGATGTAGTTATGGAGTTATAGGTAGCATTTGGTACTTCATTGCATTACATTATTGGCCAAATTCATACAATTATGAAACATCTCCTTGTATTTGGGTGACAAACATATGAACTCAACTTTTTGTGACCTTCCTAGTTTTTTTGGGTTTGTTTTTTGATATATTATCTTTATTCTCCTATCAATTCTACTAGATCTTTGGATCAACACCATTTTGAAATATATATATATTATTCCTCTGCTTGTAGGGTGATAAAGATAAGAAAATTTCAGAACTCACCATGGAGTTAGAGCGCCAAGATCAACTATGTGCTGCATATCGAGAAAAACTGCTAAGCTTCATAAACAACGTTGAGGAGGAAACAGAGGAACTGTCCACAAAAATTCAACTCATTATTGAAAATGTAAGGAGAGCTGAGTCAGAAATGAAAAAATGTTCACAGAACAGAAAGCCTTGGTGCTTAACCTGAATGTATAAATGAATGAGTATAGTAAATAATTTCACTACATATAGTACTCCTTTACACATCGGAATCTGTTCTTTTCCTTTCCAAGAGGACAGGGAAAGACGTGATACCTGGAAGTAATATACACTTGTTTAGTTTTCAAGGATTTTTGAGGGAATGAAACCGTTAGTGACCAAACTTTTGCAGAAGGAATGGAGTACTAGGTCCTGCTTATCACTGCATATCCTTTGAAGAGGTTCAAAACTTTCCAACTTTACTTTTGTGATTGTATATGCTATTAGATAACAATATCTTTTCTTTTAGGTGCCTTACAAATCAAGAGATTCAGGTCAAGTGTTTTTCGGGTCTTACTCAAATTACAATAAAACTTAGCTACCTTTACTCCCACACCCTGACAAATAAAGCTATGAATTTCATTCTGTTAGGTAACGGTCAAAGCACAAATAATTGATATTCTCAATCTGTTTTTTTTAACTATTCTGTTAGTTTTCTAATATATGATTGAAATATTTTCTGAATGATCAAACAAAATTGTACTCTAACAGAATCATTGGCTTTAAGTCGATGGAGAAACAACACTAGATGTAATCCCACATCCTTCACCATTACACCTTGAAAAATATATTCACTAGCAAATTCTTAGTTTTAGGTAATGTTTAGTAAAAATAATTAAACAGTTTGTTGATAACTGAATAATTAGTTGGAAGTTAAAAAATTAGCTTATTGCTATAAGGTTGTTAAGATGGTATATTAAACGATGTATTCATATCTATATTAAATTTATTTTATGGATAAAAATATTTTGGAGTAATTATAATTATAGTTTTTGAATTAATTGTTTTTTTTTATATAATTTTTATTTAATGAACAATTATTTACTATATTTTTTAGTTTAATTATTACATATAATTTAAAAGGGCAGAATGGTTATATACAAGTAAAGAATAACGTGAAACCTATGAGTGAGAAAAAGAAGATAGAAAATAAGTTGAGTTGATTTGTACCCTATACAATGAAAGTCGTGAGAGACATCACTCAAAAAGAGAAGATAGAATAAATTATATACTTTATTTGAATCAGGGATAACATTTGAAGGAGCATAAAAATGAAAAATGTAAGAATAGAAAGTTTAGTTATTTGGGTTTTTAATTTAGAAATTTGGATTAAACAAAAGAGATTAAAAAGTGAAAAGAAACTAGTATTTTTTTAATTGATTTAAAAAAATAGAAAAATAT